GCGGGGCTTAGCAGAAGGGGCGGTGTCGTCACAGGTGGGCGGGGCCGGGCCCGAAGTGCCGGTGGGGTGGCCCTGTCTCCCCCGGCCTTGCCCCAGCGCCTAACGCAGGCACCCCGCGGTGTTTTCCAGGAGGAAAGGCAGCCTGCCGCCCTCGACATCCCCCTGGGTGAGTCTCCCCTCGAAACGGACCTGGGCTCAGGTGCTCTGATGGGCCTGTCGTGGGTTAAGAGCCCAGAGGTGGGTTAGGCTCCAGACTACGGAGTCCGTGCTCAATGCACAGAGCTAAACCAGAATGAAAACACCACTGGGTCACAGGCATCCTTCAGGCCTGCGTGCTGCAGCTTGGATCATCCCCATTCCCTGCTGCCTGTTGCAAAACCAGCTGGGGATGTGTCTCCAGGTCAGCACGCTGCTACTCTTCTCTTCCAGCTCGCCTGACCGTGTCCTACTGCCGGAGCAGCGGCCCTGGCGGGCAGCACGTTAATAAAGGTGAGGAAGAGACTTTGAAGGAAAAAATCCTAATCTTTAAATTGCTTCTTTATACTTTGTGGTGAAATATTGGGAGATTGACATTGAGCATCTTTGTGCTGCCCAATGCTAATTTTTCATTATCATTACCCCACGTTTTAACAGAACTTCTGTCTTCACAGTACTCGAGACCAGTGGTACCATATTGGATTCTCCTAGAAACACTTGTACTGGGATCGTTGCTGCTACATGTGTTGCATGAAACACCACTTCTGTCTAATCTGTTTTCATTAATCAAACATACAACATGGTAACTGGATTCTGAAACTTCACAGTGCAATAAATTCTCAGCTTAATTCAAATAAACTAAAAATCCTTCCTGTTCTGCCATTGCCGTTAAAAATAAGGTAGTTAGTGGCTGGCAATAGCAATAAATCTTGTAGTATCTAGAAAGGCAAATACCATGACAGAGTCTCCATAAAAATTTAGAGTTTGTCTTGTGGAGTGGTATGTAAAAATATAGCAAGAAAAAAGTTGTGACGTTTCAGGAAATTGGTACTGGAATCATCCTATGTTCAAAGCCAGCAGTGAACAGACTGAATTACCTCATAAAACTTATGAAGGCGAGCCATTACACTGAAAAAAGATCCTGTTTTTCCTCCCAGTGAATACGAAGGCAGAAGTTCGGTTCCACCTGGCATCAGCAGACTGGATCCCAGAAGATGCAAGACAAAAAATGGCATCGATGGTACCTACTGTCCCCCTTCTAGCCATGGTTTAAATTTCACACTTTCAGACAGAACATGACGAGTCTAAGGAGGTTCCAGTGATCACATCACGTTTTCCCCTCTTTAGCACAGGAATAAGATAAACCGAGCTGGTGAGCTGATTGTGAACTCTGAAGAGAGTCGCTACCAAATGAGGAATCTGGCGATTTGTTTGGAAAAAATCAGAACCATGGTCACAGAAGCTACTGAGAAGCCCAAGGTGGTGTCTAAGGAGACTACACAGAAACTCATAGCGAGGTATCTTTATTGAAATGGCCTTTATTTGAGATGGATTCAGAGTATCATGTTACATGATTTAGTTTGCAGCCTCTTTAAACAATCTTCTTCATACTCATTTGGATTTCCTTTTTTAAAAAAATCACTGGTCCGTTAGATCTTAATTGCTTTCGTGGGTAGCATCCCGAGAACAGGGACTGCTTTTTCTGTCTGTGGACATTTGTCAGCTCATCAAATGTACATATTAACTGTGCTCAAAGTTGAATATTTAAATATTTTCTTTGTACACTAAAGGATCTTTTCATTTTGTTTTAGGGTGGAAAAAATGAACCGTGAACGACTACGACAGAAAAAGATACACTCAAATATAAAACAAAGCAGGAAAGCAGACTTTGACTAAGAATAGCAGAGATCGAAGTCCTTGGCATAGCATCTTTTTAAAGAAATGGCATTGGCAGCTGCAGATAATGCTAAACTGGATTGAATAAAACTGGTCCGAAAATGTAAATAAAAATATTTAACATCATCTTTTGAACTTAATGATACACTGTGACAGCCTGTCAGTCATTTTGCAGAAAAATTACTGTTCATGTTTGAAGAGAAACTAAAAATTCAGATTTTTGTCAGCCACTTTTTTTTATTCTTTGTGCCCTTCATCCAGCCCTCTGCTCTGTGAGAGCACCCTCTGCTGCTGAACACATAAGCAGCAGTAGATCATGGGGGAAAGAAAGGGAAGACTAAAAGCAGTCTAATTGCGTATCTAAGAAGCAAATAGAGTATTCACTATTTCTCAAATTTTAGTTTATTTTTTCCTAACCAAAGAAAGTGCATTTTTGTTAAGTTAAGCTAAAGCCATGGCAGGAATTTGGCAGGAGGCAGTTGTTCTTCATTCAGAAACCACCCTGTAAGTACAGGAGGCTTCTGGCCCTTGAGATGGAATGCCGTACAGCCTCAGGCTGAGTCTTACAGGCTTTAAGAGTTGCTCATCAGTGGACCCTGTTTAAACAGAACAAAGTTCTGTGCTGTAACGTGGTGGATTTCACCACCAACAACTCTGTTCACTGTGGCGTTTCAAAGACACTGAAATTACACTTTTTTCATCTTCTCATGGGGCCCCAGTGGCCTAATGGATAAGGCACTGGCCTTCTAAGTCAGGGATTGTGGGTTCGAGTCCCACCTGGGGTGAGGAGAGGTGGTTCTGTTTTAGGCAAGAACTAAATACAAGGGGGAGTGCTCTCCACTGGTCCCTGGAGTTTAATTGGGGCACAGCGAGGTGCTTTGCTCTGACACACCTCCTATGGCCAGTTCCTGGTCCCCTTTGGAAGTTCTGCACTTACACAGTCCAACGTTTACATCTGCAAAAAGCAGAGAGCTCAAATCCCACATCCTCTCCAAAAGAGGCTGCTTGGAGGGATGCGGGAACACACCAATGCATCCTGACATTCCTCGCAGGAAACCCTGCCTCCACCGCTGTGCACACCCTGCCTCAGCAAGGAGAGCAAAGAATAAACTTTTCTCCTGCCTAAAGCTTTATCTTCATGGTAGGGGGTAGCTGCCAGCTCCCCCTCTCACAGGCAAATGTGTCTGCAGTTCCATGCTGTGCCCTGGCCCTTACAAGCAAGGGGGATGTTGCTGCTTCAGACATATTTCTGACACTGAAAGTCACCACACAAGCATCAACTGGGACAGCAACAGACTCAGCTGAGCCCTCACTGCCTTATATCACCTGCGGCTCAGGTCTCCCCAGATTTTACAGTAAGATTTGCAAAATTTTTCTTAAGGCCTTGGAGCAAGCACACAACACCAGGGTTTGAAGGGGATGGACGCTTCAGGTATTCAAAGCGTATCCCAAGTTTTTACACCAAGAAACCTCCTTCTTGTCCAAGATCAGGCTGCCTGACCCAGGGGACACGGGTGCCCTAGAAAGGCGTGAATCATCCCTAACCACAGCAGGGAACCCACCCACC